GAGGCCGTCCTCCCGCAGGGCGAATTCATCGCCGGGGATGAGCTGGCGGCTGCAGGCCACGCAGCGGAAACACTCGATGTGGTACACCTTGGCGCGGGCGCGCATCACGAAGTCGTTCTTGCTGAAGCCGATGCTGCACTTGGCGCACTTGATGCCGTATAACCTGAGCAGGGCCCAGCCCCGAAAGGAGAAGGGAGGGAAGGAGGGAGAGCACGGGAGGGGGAAGGGGAAGGCGTGGGGGGGAGAAAGGGAAGAAGAAAGAGGTTTTCACACCCGCTCGTGGGCTTTTTTTTGGCCCGCGTAGACGCGCCACACGCAGTCCACTAGTTAAACAAGCCTTGGACATACAGAAGCCAGAAGAGGAAAAGAATAAAACGGATTCGTTTGCTGCCGGTGCTCTGATCCCCACGCCGTAAAAGTCGGTGGGGAACAAGACACGCCGGTGAGCAAGGAGAGGCGGGAGGTAAGCGGCGGCAGGGCTGGCAGGAGAAACGGGATGAAATAAAAAAGCGACTCCTTTCCTTCCCGAGGAGATGCCGACCTCTGCCTCTTGCCCCAGCGCTCGGGTTGCAGCAGGCGAGGTGCCGTCCCTGCCCTCTCCCTCCCTCCTCACAGCGAGGGGACGTGACCTAGCCTGGCCCGGGGCTGAACAGGACCGCCCGGGTACACCGGGGAAAGACGAGGCTGACGAAGCTGCCATCCGCTCCCCATGCACAAACGTGCCAGCCTCACCAAATGGTGTTCTTTTTGCTAGAAGCCCGCTCAGGACTTCTGTCACTTAATGTGTGCCCGGGTTCCCGGCAGCTTAGCCTCCGGGACGCGGCAGGGGTGGCTCTGCCAGCGGCCGGGACTCTTCCCCTTGTCCCCTTTCACCAACTTCATACAACAGTATAGGCATACACACACACACGTACATATATACACGCTCACATATATAGTAGTATAACTCCTCTCCCGCACTCCTGCTAAAAGGCATTTTGGAAGCTTCGGCTTCTTAGCCTGCCTGTGCCTCAGCCCCCCTGCTCCGTCTCACCTGCCGCCGGAGCCCCCTCCCGCCGGAGCCCCCACCTTCAGCCCCCGCTCAAGCCCTGCGGCAGGAGCGAAAGCGCAACTTCGATCTGACAGCTCCATACGGCAAATAATGGGTTTCTGGAGTGGGTGGCGGGCTCCTCGTTTCCCGTGGAGGAGAGGTGGACAGTTCATTCATCAGTAGACGAACATGAGAAAAATGCTCCAATCTGGGTGTCTAGAACTGCACAGTGTCTCGGCTTCCACTGAGTGCTCCTCAGCATTAAGCGAAATTAACATCTTCCCGCAAATGTACGGGTACAGGCACTTATGCACACACAGGGTTCACAGAACTGTAAAGGCTGCTCCTAAAGCTGAGTTAATATTCATCCCCACACATACCATCATCAGTACACTTCCTTAGAGATACAGTCTATGATGTGTGCTTGTGGGTAGAGATGTTTATTTACATACATCTTTAGCTGCTATGTCTATAGAGGTGTACTAATCCTGTATTCAGAGATACATATTTCGGAATTACAAGGGTTCGAGCAGAAAAAAACCCCAAACGAACAGCTAAACGGCAAAAGAACAGAGAGATCGCAAAATGTGTACGTTAATAGGTACAAAAGTTGGGGGGGGGGTGGTGACCACATGTCTGACAATTATAGATTGGCTCACGGTCTAATGCAAAGTCGACGTGCACATAACACACATCTTACTTTTAAAATTGTAGCAAATGAAATATATTGCGTATTGACTTAAAGAGCTGATTTTTTTTCCCTCTTTTTAATTTCGCCCTATAAGTTCTACCAGAAGGTAAGTGAGCGCATCTCAGTCCAAACGTTTTGCTTTAATTTGAAATTAGTGAAAGGACAACATTTAAAAGCACAACTTCAAAGCACATTTAAAAGTAAAGATAGGGGAGGAAAAAAAATGGGGTGTTTTTCGCGATGGTAAAAGTTTGAGAATTATCTCACAACACGGCTTGAAGGAATGATCTGCTTATGAATTGTGCACTGAGGAAGGAAAGACTCAAGTGCTTTTTTTCAATTCATAATTACAAAGAAACTAGAAAAGATATCTTAGATGGCTAGGTAGGTACCTGCTCCCAAAACTTTCAATTAAAAAAAATACTGTCCCCACCTCAGTGTCATACAAAGGTCTGGTTTGGCAAACCCAGTAGACGACGCTGAAACGGATCTGTATGACCCAGGAGCACAAATAAACACATTTGAAATTCCTGATTTGATTTCTCTGCAGTGTCAGGATTGGCAAATCTCACATTTTATCAGTTACCAGATTTTAATGTGAGGAAGGAAGCAGTTCCATTATCTAAATATACCCAATTGTTCACGAACAGATGATGGGCAATTTGATCTGCTCTGTCTAATTCATCAGTACAGATAAGATAAGAAAGAAAAGGCAGTCAGATATCACCAAAGGGGTTAATATTTAAAAAGATTAAATGTCAGTTATTTTAGCGAAGAAACATTTCAGTCTAGGTTTTAACCTCCTCATAAAAGGATCCTTCATTCTGAAGGAAACTTCGGTTTTGTTTTTCCTTTGCTTTTTTGGTTTTGATAGGCCTAGTTTAAATAGGGAGTATTTATTTTTACGGCATACATGCTTGAAGTACCTTTCTTATGAATGCCATTATGCCTTTGCAAAAATACAGAGAGATGCGTTTCTCAGGTTGTGTTAAAAAGTGATCCTTTCCGTGTTGCCCGTAACATCTACACGACTGAAAATGTTACCCATTACCTACGATTTCCTACTTTGTTAGAATCACAGGATGCATTATCAAAATCCTCAGGAGGGTCCCACACAGTAGCTAGCTGTTCCCGAACATGGTTTTGTTTACACTGAAATTTGCATTTGAATCTGTGGAATAAAAAACTCGACGGCTCTAACTTTTTTCTTCGCCTGTCTGCCTATGGGGAAATCACTTAAAAGCGTACTAATTGTCTTTGCACCCTCTTTCTCCCAATTTTGTCTCTTTCTGCCTCTGTCAGATTTATAAAGTTTTGAAAAAATAAATAAAAGAAGAAATCTCACCAAAGAATTAAACAACGTAAACGGCGTACCTGATATAATCTCTTTTACAGTAGGTTTTGCCATCCCTAACAAAGCACGTACAGGTCTCGTCCAAATACTGATTACACTCTGCACACTTCAAACACGCCGCATGCCATTCCAAATCCGGAGAAACCCTCAGAATATACTGATCGTGAATTTGATTGCCGCAACCAACACATAGGGAAATCAGACGTTTTTCTGAAATGAAAATAAATACATGATTGACTAACCGTTTACTCTCCTACAGAGATAAACACGCTTTTAGTGTCGTTCCCTTATAGGGCATATTCTGGGAGTGTTGATTTTTTTATTTTTTTTTTTTTTTTAAAGAGTATTACACTTCTGGATGGTAATTGAAGTGTGCCATCATAACCTTGCCTCATTCAGAAAGGAGGCGGAACATATGTTAAAATGCAGATGTGAACAGTCTTCAGGGTGAAGATACTCATTTCGCAAGCCTTGCACGGAATCAAAACTCCAAACTCCCTCGTTGTTTTATTTTTATTTTATTGTTTGCTTGTTCGGATTCCTTGCCTTACGGGGAGAGCACCTATATGTTTGATTTTATTTTTTAAGAGGCTCTTGCTGGAAACGATGAACGCGTGGCTGGGAGCGCTTCCCATTCAGCCCATTGCCACAGAAGAGGGGACTCCAGGCTACTAGCAAGAACAAGCATCATTACGGTTGCCACTTGCTCTCTTTTGCAAGTCTAATGCTAATTCCCCTAGACGGACTAGGTCCGGGAGAGTCAAACAGCCTCATCGCAGTCTAGCACAAGGAGAATTTAAGCCTCCGTGTTGGAAATCCCATTAAAACCCTGCTTGCTCCCCAAACTTTAAAAAAGAGCAGGACCCCAGGCTATTAACATACAAGGCTACGAGGTTAAAACACAGTAAGCATGCAGGCATGGCAACAAAGGCACCTTCTCTACCACTCAGATGAAGTTCAGCTCTTTAGCAGTTCGCCTGCCTGAGATGATTACAATAGACAGCACATTTATTCCAACAACGGTAAAAATTCCGCCTTACTTTTTGGTGGGTCTCCCATGTCTCCCATATCTGTAAGAGGGTGTAATGTCCACAGTGAAATGGTGTACGGTTTCTTTTTAAGACCCCAAAGTAGGTTTGAAAGCTGTCGCTAAAAAAAAAAAAAAAAAAGAAAAAAAAAGAAAAAAAAAGAAAAAGGTAGAAGAAGTAATAACAAAAGAAAAAAATGGACACTCGAAATGAAAGAAGAAAAAAACTAAACAAAAACAAAACAGGCAAAACAAAACACCACCGGCGTGGGAGATACTGTCACGCTGTCACGGCTGCAGAGAGAGCAGGGGGCGCGCGGAGCGGCGCGGAGCAAGGCGCCGGGGGCGCGGCGGGGTCCGGCCG